AGCACATACTAATCCTTACTGTCAGTAACATGAACACTTGACCCTTCCTGTCCCCAGCAGCACAGACTGACCCTTCCTATCCTAAGCACGAACATCTGACCCTTGCTCCTCGCAGCAGCCCAGCCAACTGACTCCAACTCTCCTCTCGACCAGCTAACCCACCCTTTTATAACACCCATCCTATTGGACACAGCTGTGACCTATTAAAGGCAAAGCTATTTCTACTCTTTGGTAATTAGTACAACTGCAACTCCTCAGGGGTACGATTGCCTTCAGCACTACCTCTAGTCTCCTACAGTCCATCCTCCCACACATACACACAGAAAAACTAAAGCATTTGGTTATGCTGGCAAAAGAGCTATTTTATCAATTACGTGTCAGCAACACCATCAAATGCAGAATTGTCAGGCCAGTCTACAAGAACAGAAAACACTGTTGTTACAAGTAGTTTCAGCCACTGAAGGGCACATAGTACAGTAAATATGTTCTTATTTTGGTGAAATAAACAATGACAGATTTTTCTCAAGGAAAAGAGGTAACATGTTTAGATCAAAGGAATGCAGTAGAAAGACAAGCAAGCGAAAAAGTGTGTCTCATTCAACCCAGTTTGAATAAGAAAGTTGCTAGGCAGAACACAGAACATTCCAGTGAAGAGGGTGCAAAGTACAACAGAAAACAAGTTACTTCTAACACAAGTTAATAGTTCAATTATTTAATTAACTCCTTAGCACAGGATGACCCTCTAACAACATTTAAAACTTGGATTTTGTTCAGACAATTGGTAAGCTACAAACTGCAAGAAGAGTACTCAGAGAAGTATCATATGAAGAGAATAAGTATATAACTCTTCTCTAGATATCTGCTTTTGGCCACTAGTATTGATAAAAAGTTAAACCAAACATACTTTGTCAATGCTTAGCACAGCTGCTTTTTAAATTACTTTAGCAAGCTAGTTTTTATTGAAATAAACTGAATATAAAAGCTATGCATACATTAATACTTCCACTTAATTTCTTTTTTTGTACATGTTTTAAAGTCACTCAACCACTTTCAAGTCTTTAAAACCTGCTTTTTGGGTGCTGCTGGACAATATCCAAAGCCTGCACTAGTACCAGAGATCCAAATATCCTGCAATCCACACAGCAGTTGATACAGGACTGAGTTTTCCCCTCTGCAAGCAAGGAGGATGAAAGGAAAATTATGCTTTGCTCAACCTCTTCCTGCTTGCAAGAGAGGCCTCTATAACTGTGATATCACCTCAGTATTAATTTCTCCTTTATTAACAGCTAGGTTAATAAAGCAGGTCAGATTTATTCAGCATGCTACTTGACACTTCAACACAGAGCCGAAGAACCACTTCCCCTTTATTCAGTTCAATTGGCAGTTCAGGTATCCCAAACAAAGAAAATGTGAATAAAACTGTTGCTCCAATTTGATGCAGCCATGCAAATTTATCTGGAAGTGAATAATGGACAGGTGACTCCGACTCCTAGAAACAGATTCAGACCTATCCCCAGCTTTTAAAATAATTGGTAACAGATTTCAGCTCTCCAACTTACATCTATGCCAAGGATTCTGAGTGCTCTCAGAAGTCCCTCATTTTATAGTCCTGCCACAAGAAAGGACATAAAGGTGATTTTCAAATTAGAAACCTTATAAAGCCTAAGGAAACCCAAACTTAATACTTTTCACAAGGAACTATAACTGGGGAAGTTATCCTTCCCTATTACAGTAAAAGAACTTAACTGCCTGGCATTGCTGCCAAGATAGACATCTGAAAAAACAGACTGAGCTGGGGAGAAGTCGAGTACCCTGTGAGAGGGGGAAGGAAAAACAAAATAAATAAAGTTCGGTACCAAAAACGGGAAATGAAGACGAAATTAGAAGAAGAATTCCTCTTTCACAAATCACAACATCAGAAGTGAAACTCTATTCACCAGGAGTTTAGCTTCAAGAAGTTTGAAAAAAGCAGTTTAAAACACGACCTCCTGCACTCTCATCCACCCATTCCCTACTGAAGGCCATACAATTCACATTATGTGTGGCTCATAAACATGGGCTACTATCCAAAACACAGCTTCCTATACACAGCAGACTGCTATGCTCATAAGCAAACAAGTTTTATTTTACCTTTGGCCCACAAAGGAGATCAAATCAACACACTGCATCACTGGCAGGTATACACTGCTTAAGATCAGTTGCATTCAAACAACATGCTTGCTTACAGACCTTTCCAAAATGCATGATCTCAAGATCTATGTAATAAGAAATGTGCTTAATGCTCTTACATGTCTAATCCACTGGCACCAGACAAGCAGCAATTTGAGATAAAGTAGGTATGGTATCTAAGGGAAGTCTTTAAATCTAGAAAAATGGATATGGGAATTTGTTAGATACAGTAATTTCATTTGCTATTTTCCTCATGCTACAACAAATCACCTTCCACTGCTATTACAGTAACATCTTAATAATACTATCAACTTTCAAAACCTTACCCCCTCAATTAAGCTTTGTCCATTTCTTCTCTAATCAGAGCAGACATTACCTGTTGCAGCTTCAGCACTACAGTTTGTACAGACACTGAAGTTACAGCCTGAGATCTCAGAGTTTTAGGGGAAACAGCAAGATCTAACTTTAAGTCTGAATCCAAAAGTAGCAGAGCAGACTCAAGCTTTCCAAAACATTAAGAACTTCATAAGCACACATGCAGTTGGTACCAGAATTAAGTTCAAGGTTCATCAAAATTAAGTCCATCTCCATACCCCAGAAGTCTGCTGTGTTTTAAACTCCACTTGCTTAAGCCCCACCTCAGCAGTAGAGCTCAGGGATCAAAGAAAGAAAAGGAAACAGCTCAGGACCAAAAGTTCCCTTAGGGGCATTGTCAGATACCTCTTGTACTTTGAAAATGAAAACAAACCCATACAGTCTCAGGGTGTGTTATCTAACTGATAAATTGTACAGCACTATTCAGAGTGCCAGGCAACACTATGCCATAAAATGTTCATTTTGCTACTGATTTAAACATGATTTAGAGCTACATGCCAGCATTCAAACACTGATCACTCGATACAGACTTGTTAATTATCTTAATTTATGTGTACCAGTGCACCACAAAGCTCAAGCTAGATCTGTGCACTTCACTATATAAGGTCCAGTTCTGTAACACCCTGGCACACCTCAGAGAGCTCTCAGACTGACCACAGACCTAGCAATTGTACAAGCCCTGACTTAGGAGTAATGATTTAAAAGACTGTCTTTATTTTACTTTTATAATGAATTTTGTGTGCCTCCAGTGAAGAATACACCCTTTAAGAAATATTTTTTATGAACTGCAGTAATCTGTTACCGTTCCATTTACCAAAAGGTAATATTTACTTCCAGTTAGTCTACACTGTTAGACCTTACTGCTAAACTGCTTTTATAACATTAGTTCTGATCACAATGACATCTCTTTTCTGCACAAAGAGGTATATTCTTTCTTGGACACTAATCTAACTTATACAGTTCAGCTGTTCCACTTGATCCCTTTCCCCAGCCTACTCAGATCACAAGAGATGCAGACATCAACCAGCAACCATGCTGAAATGAGAGAAGTTACAAAGTACAAGGCATCAAGACTGATTCCCATGAAGTACTTGTGCATCACAGGACTCTCTGAGCTGTTAGAAGGCAGATGAAAGCCATACTTCAAGTCAACTCTGTCCTGAATTTCAGTTTCTTGCTTCCTAAGTCCACTGCACAACTTTGCAGCAGCCCATGGATATCAAACACAGAGATCACTGTCCATACTCTTAGATCTTAGAGTCTCTTTACGCTCCCAGGATCTCCTCGCCCACTGGTCTCACCCAAAGGAAGGGGATTTAACAACCAGCTCCCAACAGCCTGTAGCGAAACGCCGTTGGGGAAGAGCGTGTGCTCACACTCTTCCAGCTTAGGCTTGCCCACTCCCGAGTCACCGAGGCGCTGCCCGAAGCTATTCCAGGGGAGCCCTGCCTGTCCCGCTAGCTGTCACTGCCCCGGCCGGGCACGGGAGGCTCCGGTACCCACCGGCGGCGAAGTGGAGCGGCGTGGACTTGCGCCCCGCCATGTCCTTGGCGTTCACGTTGCCCGTGTCCACCAGGCGCTTCACGCGCGTCACGTCCCCATTCCTGCAGGCCTCCAGCAGCTCGCGGAACGCCCCGCTCGCCGCGCCCGGCCCCGCCGCTTCGGGACTCTCCGCCGCCGGGCTCGACGCCGCCGACGACGACGCGGACGAGGACGAGGAAGACGAGGAAGAGCCGCTGGAGCTGCTGCCCGAGCCCGGCGGCGGGACAGGCACGGTGGCGCCCGAACCCTCCGCGCACTCCGTGGCCGGGGGCCGGTCCGCGTCGGGGGGCGCCTCGCCTTCGGGGCCGGCCAGGCTGGGGCGCTGCGCGGCCGGTGCCAGGCTGGGGCTGCGCGGCGGCGAGGCGGCGGTGGGCGGCGGGGAGGCCGGGCCGGGCGGCGGGTGGTGGTGGTGATGGTGGTGCTGGGAGCGACGCGGCGGCACCGCCGCCATCTTCAAGCCGCTCCGCCCCTCCCGGCCCCGTCACTGCGGCAACGGCGCCGCCCCGCCCGCGCTTCCGCCCGTCCGCCAACCCCGAGCGCCGCGCACGGACGTGACGCCCGCGCGGGGCCCGCGGGGCGCGGCCGCACCGCCCCGGCACCGCCCCGCGCGGGGCGCGCCTGCCCCCTGCCGGCCGCGCGGGAGAGACGGGCGGAGCCCGGGGCGGGGCGGGGCGGGACGGGGCGGGCGGAGCCACGGGTGGGGCCGAGCCCGGGTGGGGCCGAGCCCGGGTGGGGCCGAGCCCGGGTGGGGCCGGCGCTGCCCAGGAACCGCGTCCCCTCCGCGGTTGCCGGGCCGGCAGCTCGTCAGGCGTAGCCTCAGAAGGGAGGGCGAGGAACGGCGTTCACCTGCAGAGCCCGCTGTAGGGGCGAGGCGCCCTTCTGCCGCCTGCACGGCGCGATCGGCGGTGACACCTGAGTCTGGGCAGCTGCTTCTGCACAGCCGCCGCTCATGTCAAAACTCCTGAAGGACTTTGCAAGCTAATTGCAACACCCCATGGTCAGATCCAGGCTTTGCGAGGTACTTAAGAAGCATCGGTGTGAACTTGTTCAGGTCACCGCCGGCTTTCCACAATTAATGTTTCACCATCCAGGTGCTTTTGTGGCATCAGTGACAAACAAATCACATTCCTTTACTGGTCACGCCAGAGATGGGTGGGTTACCCGGCCCCCATGGGTAGCCAGCGCTCACCTCCCTTCCCCTGCAGGCGATCCAGCCGGCAGCGTGGCTTCATAGAATCACAGAATCGTAAATGTTTAAGGCTTGGAATGGACCTTAAAGATCATGTAGTCCCGACATCCCCTGCCATAGGCAGGGAATACCTCCCTCTAGACCAGGCCATTCAAGGCTTTATCCAACCTGGCTTTGAACGCTGCTTCATTCCAGTACAGCTCTTTTCGTAAAGCCAGGAAATGATGGAGTGAGACTAGGGGAGAAAGCTGATGTAGATGTAGAAAGCTAAGTGGAGCCTGGCAGTTCTTTAAAAGTTGATTAGCTAAGCTGAAAGGCCACTTCTTTACTCATTCCATGGAGGAAAGCAGCACTGGCGCAGAGCCCGTTGGCCAGAGCAAGGCAGTCACTTAAAAGCCACATGGAGCAAATGGTGGAGAAAAGCCAAGAGGGAAACACTCCATTTGCTCAGAAACAACAGAATGTGGAGAGCTGGAACAGGAAGCTGGGGCAGCCAGGCAAAAGGTTACCCAGGGTAACCAGTGCTAAAAGGTAAGGAAGAGAAATCTAGGGATATCAGGGATCAAAAGATGCCCTCTGTAAGAATGAGCAGATCTGAAGAACGTGGGCAGAAGCATTTAAATAAGGATTTTGGGTTGGATTTGGAAAGCAGAAGAAAGCTGAGATCACAGTTCTCCTGGCTTTCTGATATCTAGGGAGGATATAATTATGGTTTAAGTCAGAAAGCTCTAATAGGTGTTACTGAGAGATCACTTAACTTTAATCTGTGAGAAAAGGGAGATTCCATTGACAGGAATAATATCAACAGCAACAATTTCTGGAAAATTCTCAGTACACCTGGTGGGGCAGCAGCCACAGGTCAGAGAATGGGAAGAGTGATGAGGAATTCCTGTTAAAAGGGTTGAATATGACCAAGGCCAGCCAGCCTTATCCTAGCCAGCCTCATCCTTAGGTGTTTGGTAGCAAAAGGGCTTTAGGAAGTGTTTGCATAGCACCACCATGTGATGTGCTGAAGAAGCACTGATAGGTCTAGTGCTGGGAGCACAGAAAATCAGAAAATAGGAATTCAGAAGAAATTGGGATCTGGTCTAGTGCTACTAAGTACCTTTCTGCTGGTAATGAGAAGGGAGGCATTAAATCAGTCACAATGACTAGTGGAGAATGTGAATGTGCCCATGTTGTTCCATGACTTAGAAGGCATGGGCCTTGACCAGGCACTGAGAGAGCTCAGCAGGACCTCCCTGGCTCCTGCATCTGTACAGCTGCTGCTTCACAGCTGCCTTTCATTTTAAAATTCCAAAAGGACTTTGCAAGCTAATTGCAACATCCCCCTTTGTCAGAACCAAGCTTTGTAAGATATTTAAGAGGCCAGAGCATCAGCATGCACTTGTTCAGCTTACCACTGGCTTTGTTCAGCTCACCACTGGCTTCCCACAGTTTATATGCCACCCTCCAATTGCTTCTGTGGCATCAGTGGCAAAAAAACCTCATATTCCTTTGTTCTCTCTGTATTTCCCATAAACCAAGGCATCACTTTTATGAAATTAATAGGTATGCAAACATTTATTCTATTTCCCAAATGAACTTTAAAAATACAAGTAGCATTTTTAAAATTGGGGATGCATGGTGGCCTTAAAATGTAATTGTTGGTTGTAGAATTGAGTAAGGAATGCTATACTCTGGGTCAACCTTCAAAAGAAGGCCAGAGAGGTATTGGTAGATGAAAAACGGAACATGAGCCAGCAATGTGCACTCACAGGCTAGAAAGCCAGTTGTGTACTGGGCTACATAAACTGAAGCATGGCCAGCAGACCAAGGGAAATTCTTTCCCTCTAATCCTCTCCTGTGAGACCTTGCCTGGAGTACTATATCTAGCTCTGGGGTCCTCTAGACCTGTAGAAGCAAGTCAAGACAAGGGCTACAAAGATGATCAGAGGGCTGAAGCACCTCTCCTATTAAGACAGACTGGGTTGTTCGGCCGAGAGATGAGAAGCCTCCAGGGAGACCTCAGTGTATCCTTCCAGTACTTAAAGCAGATGTATAAGAAAAAGGGGAGAAGGACTTTTACACAGGCATGTAGTGACAGAACAAGGGGGAACAGTTTTAAACTGAAAGAGGAGAGATTTAGATTATATGTTAGGAAGAGATTCTTTACCATGAGGGTGGTAAGGCACTGGAACAGGTTGCCCAGAGGAGTTACTGATGCCCTGCCTCCAGAAGTGTTCAAGGCCAGGTGAAATGGGGCTTGGAGCAACCTCACCTAGTTGAAGATGTCCCTGCCAAGGCAAGGGGGTTGGATTTTATCATCTTTAAAGGTTTCTTCCAACACAAATCTTCCTGTGATTCTAGTAAAGGAATTCCAGTGCCTAGGAAGAAACAAGCAAAGCAATTAGGATTGACAGTATGAGACCTATCTATGGGGAAGTGGGTACTGGTCATGGGTTACACTGGGCAGTTCTGGGGATGCACCTCCTCTTCACACTCCCACATTTGCGGGGGTCCCTATCCTACTGCATTCCCAAATTTCTCCTTAGTCTTCCTGCCCCACAGGTACAGCCCCACTGCTCCCCTGCAGAAGGCTGAGGCAAACAGCAGTGTTAGTCGTCCCTGCCCTTCTCTTTCCTCTGCCCAGAGCATTTCCAGGGTCTCTTCAAGTGCTGCCATCACCATATATGGCTTGCTAAGCCTTGGGGTAGATTCATAGCACTCCACAGAAATGGTGGGCAAAATAGTGTGGAGAATGCAGTTCTGGGCAGAATTTTATCCTCACAGGATTTCTACTTGAGGTTGAAGAGGAACGTGTGGAGGATCTTTGAAAGCAGTCAGTCAACCCACTGCTTATTCTCCAGCCAGCCACTGAGCCCTTGGAGACAAGAATTGGTGCCAAAGCAGGACCCTGGGGTTTTTAACAAGTGGGCTGCATGTCTGGTGGTGCAGAGGGCATGCAGTCTCCCAAGGGCCTGCCAGCCTCACTCGCTGCTGGTGCCAGAGCCTGTGAGCTTTGCACTGGCCCACAGCACACCCTGCATCTGCTTACCACAGCAGCTTGGTGCTTCTGTTGAGCTGATTTAAGTTCATGTCCTGTCACAAGCAGCTGGTTACATTTGCACTTCTTATCCTGCAAGGGCCTAAAATATTGTTGATTACTCAGTGCCTTTTGCCTGACCCAGGAAGAAGGTTCTTTACATAGAAATCTTATTAATGATGCAGGTGCAGGGCTCAGTAAAGTGGAAGCACTTCAGATTTCATCTGAATAATTAAATTCCATCAATAGGATTTTGCAGGACTACTATTTAAAATTAATAACTGCAAATGCAGTTCTGACATATAATGGAAACCACTGAAATGGGATTTTTTTTTTTTAATATAAAATGCTTTACAGATTTCCTGGCAATTTTACAGCCACCTGGCTGTAAGTCCCAGCTGATCCTGAGCAGCAAGAGAGGGGTTTGGTGTGGTTTCTGAATATTGTTAACCTCCAAAAATTAGGAAATTACTCCAAAACCAGCATCCAGTATGCTGATGCTCATGTTTAATGGACCTTTAGTAAGCTAATGAGTAAATTGAGAGGAAATGAGGAAGTCACGTTTGGAAAAATATGTCTCCTCTGCCTAAGACGATGGGAAGATAAGGGATCATCTAGGTCTGTATCAAAAGCCACATTTTCTGATAAATAGAATCTTCCTTTTCCCCAGAAACTTCCTATCTCATTCCCTATTGGCAGCTTTGACTGTGGTGAATGTGTTGAAAAAGCCAAGAGAAACCATCCCTGGCTGACACCATCAGGGATTTGCACACTCATGCAAACATAAGGGGATAAAGTGTAAGGTTCATAGGAAAGCACCAGAGCTTTCCTCTTTGGACAACCTTCAAGCAGCTCTGGGGATGTCTTTGTGTTAACATGCTGTTCATCATGTTTCTTCTGCCTTAGCTTCATTCATCACCTACAGGAGCTTATCAAAGTTTGAATAGTGTTGCATGACTTCTCCCTCACGATGGGGAGGAATTCAGCTCCTGCTGCTTTGCATATTTTGATAGGAAGGTTGACAGTCAAAACTTTCCCTGCTTAGTAAAAAGAACTTATCCTGTCTGTCCTTGCATGCTACCAGAAAGATATATTTAATACAGGCTATGACCTCTAATAGCAGGCAGATGGAGATAAGCACTTCTCTCCCTGGTGTTTTTCAGCTAGCTTAGCCAAGCAGCTGCTTGGAGCATCCCCAGTGGAGGAGCTCCTCCAGTTTTCCCATGGGAAACAAGAGGATAATGCAGTGGCAGCCTTTTGAGTTCACTTGCTGCAGGTCATATAGCAACTGGAAGCCTGCCCTGGCCTCAGAGAGGATCTGCAGTGCCCACAGGAATCATGGGGTGGGTGGCCCTCCATAATGATGCTGCTTTTGCTGTCTTTACCTGGCATTGGAAAGAAGAAAACTTGCCATTGAAGAAAATTTGGCCACTGCCATTGAAGCCAGGGTCAGTTTTCTCTGCAGAGATATTTTGTTTCTAGAAACACTGTCTTGATTTAATTTTGTTAGCAACAGGTTGGGTGGTTTTGCATAAAGGCTGGAAATGAAACCATCAACCTGGTTTCATTTCAACAAGAGCTATTGGGCAAGAGGGTGGGAGAAGAGAATGACTCTTTCTCCAGTAGGAATTGAATGTGCCACTTTAGAAATAAGGAAGGAGAGTGCTTCTTTTGGGGTACAATGAAGGGCTACTTCCCACGTGACCTTCAGAAATGCAAAGACACAAAAATTAGGTTAGCCCAAATAAAAGATGTACTGGCCCACTGCAGGGATGCTCTGAAAATAAATACAAGCTTGGAAACTACTTCTAGATGAGCACAATTTAGCAAGAAGCCATGAAGTATTTCTGTTTCCTAGAGCCAGGATCTGGACGAATTTTATCCCCAGGTTTAGGACCTCTCAGTAGAGCCTCATGGGTCATGAGTATCCCTGCATACCTCTTCTCCAGCAGAAGTCAAGCAGTGGCCCTAGAGCCAATACATGAGCCCAGCCCTCAGGACTGCCTCTGCTGGCTTTGGGCAGCTCCTGAATTCTACTTGGAGATGTGTTTTGCCTTCATACATCCACACTTTCTCTCACTATGGACTTTCCTCCCTGTCCTTTGTGTCCTTTGTCTGGCTTTACCAGCCAACACAGGAAGATTTTCCCTACACAGAGTGATGTCATTCTCAGGCATTTAGCAGAAACCTGGTGAAGGTCTGCTAGAACTCAGAGGGCTTGAAAAATTCTTTTATCCCTGCTTGTCTGCTAATGACAGGAAACACAGAAACTGAATCTGAGCCTTTGCAATCTTGTAGTTTTAGTAATGTGTAAATGTAATAATTTAGTGCAGTGACTATGGCTCAACACAAAGTTGGTTCAGCTCTCTCCTCCTCTCCAGGCACAGTTAGATGCACAAGGCCACCCAAAAAGAAAGGTGAGGGCTTTCTTGTGAGGGCTTTCCACAATAAGGAAGACAATAAAGGCTGTGAACCTGTTTGCCCTGTGGACTACTTTTCATTTCAAATCCTTTATTTTTCTTTTCATAGGTCTGAAGTAATAATTTATAGCACACTTCAATGGTAGCTGTTAGAACAAGGTTACTTCCAGGGTGAAAGGAAGCACCAAAGCCCACAAGGCATGCTGGAGTGTCCAGTGCTGAACAAAGACAATGACGTTTTAAAATCTGTGAACCTTTGGCCACGGTGCATCGCTGACATTTGTAAGGGTAAGGTCACACATCTCGACAAAATTAAGCGCCCACAGCCTTCGTCACCCTGATTCGCGGTTCCGCTGTAAAAGGGCTCTATTCCCCCTCTATATCAGAGGTGGAAATTTCCACGCCTATTTCTCCGACCCCCTGGAGCAAAGCTTGACTGAGGAACCTGAAGAAGGCAGTGTTTAGGGTCTGGCCAGATGGATGCAGCGCAGGAAACAAAGCACGGCAGGAAGGTGGCAGAGTTGCTCCGATTAACCAGAGGGCTACCGGCTTTCGCACTCTCTGAACACGGAAGAACATTTACTGAATGGGAAAAAAGGTTAACCTCGGTTTCTTGCAGGGCTGGATGAAAAATCAGCCCTTGCGTCGAGAAAAAAATGACAGGGGGTAACGTAACAGCTTCTGCCCTAACTCCGTGGTGAGTCGGGCGGCTCGCAAAGCTCTCAGCAAGCCCAGGAGCAGGGCGAGACCCGGGGCGGCGGCTGTCACACACCGGGGTCCCCGCGGAGCGCCCGCACCGCCACCAGCACCGCCACCGCTGCCTCCCCACCGCCTCCGAGGCCAGGCGGGCTTACCCCACCGGGGCACCCGAAGGGTCGCTCTCTGGGGCGTTGCCGGGGGTAGGAGCCGCCGGCCAGGACTCTCAGGCCAGCACGCAGACCCCTCTTTCCCGGGGAGAAGGGGCCGGGGCCCGGCAGGCAGGGGCGGGGTGTCCCCCAGACGCAAGGCCGGCTCTCCCCGGCGCGGGGGCGGTGCGGCGCTGCCGGGGCCGGGCTGTGACCGCGTCCCGCCCCCGGCGGGGCGGTGGCAGCGGCGGCGGCGGCGGTACGTGCGCGGGGCGGCGCGGCGGCAGTGCCGGCGCGGAGCCGCGGGGAGCCCCGAGCCCGTCGCGGCGGCGGCGGCGACGCGCAGCTTAGCCGCGCCCATGGCGAGCGGCGGCGGCGGCGGCAGGTAGGGTCGGGCGGGGCGGGGGCCCGCTCCCCCGGCCATGGCTCAGACAGAGCCCCCGAAGGCGGTGCAGCTGTGGCGCGACGCCGCCCTGCGCGCACGGAAGCTGCGGGGCGGCCCCGGCGAGCCCGAGCCCGAGGCGGACGCGGGGCCGCCGGGGGGGCCGCCGCCGCCCCCCGGTGCCGCCGCTCCTCGCCGCCCGTCCCTGGCGGCGGCGGCGCTGGGGGAGCTGGAGGCGCTGAACCTGAGCGGGCGGGAGCTGGAGGAGCTGCCCGAGGAGGTGGGTGCCGCCCTGAGCGGGCTGCGGGTGCTCAGCCTGCGGCGCAACCGGCTGGGCCGCCTGCCCGCCGCCGCCCTCCGCCACCTGGGCCGCCTGGCCGAGCTCGACCTCAGCCACAACCGGCTGCGGGGCCTGGGGGACGGCGGGGCGCTGGCGGGGCTGCGGGGCCTGCGCAAACTCAGCCTCAGCCACAACGAGCTGGGCGCCGAGGGCCCGGGGCTGCCCCCCCGCCTCGCCGAGCTGGGCTGCCTCGAGGAGCTCGACCTCAGCTTCAACCGTCTGCGCCGCCTGCCCGAGGGCCTGGGCCGTCTGCGGCACCTCCGCACCCTCGACGTCGACCACAACCTGCTGCCCTCCTTCCCTGCCCCGGTGCTGGAGCTGGCTGCCCTGGAGGAGCTCGACTGTTCCGGCAACCGCCACCTCGGGGCCCTGCCCGAGGGCATTGCTGCTCTCCGCCGCCTCAAGATCCTCTGGCTCAGCGGCACCGGGCTGGCATCCCTTCCCGAGGGTCTGTGCCAGCTGAGTGCCCTCGAGAGCCTCATGCTGGACAGCAACCGGCTGCAGGCGCTGCCCGCTGGTTTCGGCAGACTACAGCGGCTCAAGATGCTGAACCTCTCATCCAATCTGCTGGGGGAGTTCCCCTCTGCCATCTTGGCACTGCCCAGTCTGGAGGAGCTCTACCTGAGCCGCAACCAGCTCACTGTGCTGCCACCTCACCTCTGTCAGCTCCACCAGCTCCGCACTCTCTGGCTGGACAACAACCGCATCCGCTACCTGCCTGACTCCATTGTGCTCCTCCACAGCCTAGAGGAGCTGGTCCTGCAAGGCAACCAGATCGCCATCCTGCCCGAGGGCTTCGGGCAGCTTTCCCGTGTCACCCTATGGAAGATCAAAGATAACCCTCTCATCCAGCCCCCCTATGAGGTGTGCATGAAAGGCATCCCCTACATCGCAGCTTACCAGCAGGAGCTGGCCCACTCTCAGCCTGCCCTCAAACCTCGCCTCAAACTAGTCCTCATGGGCTTAAAAAATGCAGGAAAGACTCTGCTGAGACGGTGCCTCATGGAGGAAAATGAGCAGAGAGAGGAAAGCCTGGAGGCAGGCAACACCCAGCACAGAGGGTTTCCTGGGCAACAGCAGGACATTGGGAGGGTGGCAGTTGGGTGTTGTCCCTTTCCAGAGCCTCAAGACAATTCCTCAACTCGGGTACCTGTCATGCAGCAGGTAGAACATCTCCCTGTTGAGCGGCAGGACATCCCTTCTCATGTTTTGCCCTCTCACCGAGAAAACGGGGACGCAACATCCCCTGCACCGTCACTGCCACCCAATGCGCCCCGAATACCACTGGGACTAGGACTATCAGGAAGCAGTAAGGGCATCGAGGTGATGGACTGGACAGCAGATGCAGAGAGGGGCCTGACATTCATTGTATATGAGCTGGCAGGGGATCCAAGCTATGATGTGATCCAGTCTTTTTTCCTCTCCCCTGGAGCCTTGTACGTGCTGGTGGTGAATTTGAGTGCCTACGTCCCTCAGCACTTCTACCCCTCTGTGGGCTATTTCTTACACTGGCTCAGTTCCAAGGTGCCCCATGCCGTAGTGTGCATGGTGGGAACCCATGCTGACCTCTGTGCAGAGCGGGAGTTGGAAGAGAAGTGCCTGGACATCCATCACCAGATCGCTCAGCAGGAGAAGAGGGATGCTGAGGGACTACAGAGCTTAGTCCAGCAGGTGGATGAGGCTCTGGGACAGGACTTCGACCTGCGCTGCTCCAGCCCGCATGCTGCCTTTTACAGGGTCTCAGACAAGAACTTGCGGCGAAAGAAAGCCCAGTTTCAGTATCTTCTCAACCACCGCCCGCAGATCCTGTCTCCAGTGCTGCCTTTCAGCTGCCAGGACCGTTGCCAGGTGCGTCGCCTGCGGGACAAGCTCCTCTCTGTGGCTGAGCACCGGGATATCTTCCCAAACCTGCACCGGGTGTTGCCCAAGTCCTGGCAAGTGCTGGAGGAGCTGCACTTCCAGCCTCAAGCACAGCAGTTGTGGCTTAGCTGGTGGGACTCTGCCCGGCTGGGCTTGCAGGCAGGTCTGACAGAGGATCGGCTGCAGAGTGCCCTGTCCTACCTGCATGAGAGTGGAAAGCTGCTCTACTTTGAGGAGCATCTCACCTTGCGGGAGTATGTGTTCCACAATCTGCCGCGGCTCATAGACATCCTCAATGTCTTTTGCCAGCGGGATGCCACTGTGCTGCTCCAGAAACTGCTCAGTGACACCCAGATTGACGAACTGAGGACCACTCAGCTCCATCATTACGTGGAGGGCTTTTTGCTGCATGGCCTCCTTCCTGCCCATGTTATCCGTCTCCTTCTTAAGCCCCACGTCCAGAGTCGGGAGGATCTGCAGCTCATTCTGGAGCTTCTGGAGAAGATGGGGCTGTGTTACTGTGTCAACAAACCCAAATGCAAGCCCTTAAATGGGGCGGCTGTTTGGTACAAGTTTCCCTGCTACGTGAAAAACGAGGTGCCCCATGCAGAGGCATGGATCAACAGCACCAATCCGAGCGGACAGTCCTTTGTGGTTGAGCAGCTGCAGATTGAATATAGCTTTCCATTCATTTTCCCACCCGGCTTGTTTGCACGCTACAGTGTCCAGATTAACCGCCACGTGGTTCAGCGGTCAGATGGCAAGTACCAGATTTATGCCTACCGGGGAAAGGTGCCTGTGGTGGTGAGTTACCGGCCTGCCAGGGGAGCTCTGCAGCCAGACACTCTGTCTATCGCTAGTCACGCGTCCCTACCAAATATCTGGACAGCTTGGCAAGCTATTATGCCTTTAGTGGAAGAACTGAATGTCCTGCTCCAGGAATGGCCGGGCCTGTACTACACTGTGCATGTCCTTTGTTCAAAGTGCCTTAAAAGAGGGTCACCCAACCCACACAGTTTTCCAGGTAAGTCACAGTCCACCTGTCTTTCATCTCTTTTGGAGCTTTGCCCCTTCTAGAAAGGTGTCTTATGAGGTCAGCCCTAGCTCTGCTTTTTTTTCTTTTTCTTTTCTTTTTTAAATTTTTCTTTTCTTCTCTGCTGTAACTTCTTTCCCTGGTGGTTTGAGTCATGAGAGAAAATATTAGGGTAGCTCCAAGGAGACAGGCTTAAAATAACCCTATTCTGAGAGGAGGGGGGTGTTACATCCCCCTTTGTCTGCGCCTTTTCTCTCTGCTTTTTGGGTTTTGGCCCTGAGGGTTGGCAGTGCCATTGTTGAGAAGTCTCTGACCTGTCCTTGTTTTAATTCCTTTGAATGGGACTGTGGTGTTGTTTTTTTTTTTTTTTTTTTTTTTTTTTCCTAGTTCCTTTTACCTTACAGCTCCCACTTCCTTGGAGCTATTTGTAAACATTAATAGAGATGCCTAAAACAGTGCAGGTATCCCCTGTTCCCCCTTCAACCCTCCACTCCCAAAACCTGGCCTATGCTGCAGTCTCTCTGAATGCAGGAAAGCTCCTCCTGGTAAACAATGGGTTGTTGGTCTCCAAAGCCATGTGTAAAAAGAGCTTTCTCTGAGCATCCTTTGAGCCCTGTCTCTAGTGGGAAGCATCCCTCACTGAAGAGAGAAGATACTCCATCTTCTTTGTTTAAGTGTCTCACCTAGAACTGATACCTGAACTGTGCCTTTTGGAGCTGTTCTCAAGCACATTTTATTTTCCTTCCTCAAATGAAAAAGCATAAGCTCTCTCCTCTGGAACGTGACTGATCATGGTGACTGATCGTGCTGTCACCTCTAAAGTTGTGATTTTTATCGGTGGTGTTTTCCAGCAGCATCTGTTTTACTTTGTGTGTGCAGGTACTGCCTCTTAGCTGGTGTCCTTCCTGCTCTGGTTGGGTTTGCTCTGCAGCTTGCAGAGTGTCATGGGAAGTGTGCTTTGATGTGTAAATCTGCATGAAATCAAAACACACTCTGGACTGTGAGCAATGCTCCAGAAATCTGCATTTTAACAACCATGTTGGAGGTGTGTTGGAACATTATTAAGAGGTAGCCTAAAATTGTGCAGGGAACTGTAGCATAATTTGACTTCAATCAAGCAGTGGTGCTGAATTTGTTCGTAAGCAAATGTGATGAATAAGGTGTGGTATTTGGGGATTTGATTTCTTTTTTTGTTGTTGTTTTTTGGGTTTTTTTTCCTCTGGACGCTTAGAATAAGGAGGTGCAGTTTGCTCGTCAGCCTGAGTCCTGGCTCCATCAGCTGCATCTCCCTCCAACTGCTCACTTATGTAAGAGCCATTGGACTGGGGAGGTGAACCCATGCTGTGAGACATGCTGAATGATATCTTTCTGCTGACATGGTGCACAGGGCAATGTGATCTGCCTTAAAAAAAAAAAAAACCACTCTGGAAACTGAAAAAACCAAACCTGCCACAGAACCCCTGAAAAAAACCCCAACAACCCTCCCCAGAAACCTGCCAAAATTAGTCAAGACAGCAGACATGTGATGGGCACCTATTGGAGATTTAACTTGTGAATTCCAGTCTCCAGTCATGAATCTCTTTTATTTTTTTTTTAACTGGTGGATGCTTTGTGGCTGTCCCTTTTCTCCCTGTGAGTAGATAATGCTTTAAAATGGAAATTTGAAGAGGAGCCAGACTGTCTGCAGGCAGTTGGTGTTGTTGCTGACCCCAGTGATGGTCAGAGCAGGTTCAGAAGCATGAGAGGGGCATTGAAGGGCCTTTTCCTTGGACTTGGCTGTGCCACGTATGTTTTCTTAGAGGTGGGAAAGGATTTATCTCGCCTGGGAGCCAGGCCAGGTGTGCTGGGAAGGGAAGGCTCAGGTAAGCTGTGTGCTGAGCACGACAGGAGCTGGGGCTTCTGAGCCAAGTCTCCAAATGACACCTGGGTGATGCTGCCTGTGGAAAGGGGGTTGCAGCATTTTTGAGGCGCTCCAGCAGGGAATTTAGGCCCTGCTATCAAGGACACAGGATAGCATCCCAGGTGTGACCCTTCCTTGGGGCAGGGAATGGCTCTCTTTCTTATACTTGGATACTGTGTGACTCTAGCTGGGAGAACAGCAGATAAACATGTTTAAAAGGCAAGGCTGATCTGTGGAAATGCTGAAGAGTGATGAAATTAATATATTGAGAAGCCTGCTTGTTGTCATGGATAATACTTAAATGTAGCTCAGGTTTGATCTGGACTATATGAAAAATGTGAACTGTGGTTTGACTTGGGAGGCCTGCGTGTCTGCTTTTAATCTAAAATATTCCATGCTGTGTATCTGCTCTATGAATAAAAGATTGTTTAGGAGCCTCTAAATGGCAATCGTGAAGCTCAAGACTTTTTTCTTCCCTATTTTGTTGATCAGGAGGCGTGCATGTTTAAGTCATGCTGCCAAGCTTGCTGTCATGCAAGTGAATCATGGTTGGTGTCATTTTTGACAAGGTGTAGGAAAGAGAGGGGTCTAATGTTAGGAAAATATGTAGTGAGGGAGATGTCTGTGTTTCTTTCCAAGCTCTTTTAGTGGAAATCACTGGCAATTACAATGCTCCTAATACTTAAATAAGTCTGTGGGCTTTTTAGGACTGCACTGAAGAAGTGCTTTGCAGCCAGTTGACCTTAATAAGGGAAATATTTCTGTGTAGACACTGCCAAATTTGTGCTCAAAAATGGAAGTGCAGTCTGGCTCTCTGTGTGGTTGTGCAATCTGTGTCGTCATTCATCAAACTGATGGTGCATTCTTTGGTCACCCAGAATTTTTATTAGAATCCCTTTCAAAACGAGAGTTCATAAGTTGAGGATTAATCTTTGCTTTTCCTTTCCTTCCCTTTCCTCTCTGTCCTGCACACTATAGCTTCCGTTAATAATACACAGAGAAATAATCTAGGAATAGGGCTAATGTGCATAGAAATGGTAAATAAAAATTGAGATTCTGGATTCAGTTTTCTGAGGGTTTATTGCAAAGAGTGAATGAAAGTGATATAAAAATGCCTTGTTGGGGTAATTTTAAGGAAGTTTTTGTGTTTGAAACAGTTTTGTAGCTGGGTGAAGTAGTAACTGAATTGGCATCTGAGCTGGAATCTCAGTGTGCTTTGAGGCTACAGTCATCCACTTGGCTGATAACAACTCAGTGTGTTAAATTAGTTTTTTTCTTTTACATTTGCACTATATATAAATGAAAGTATCTGTACCAGGCTAAGAAAGTCATATCTGTCTTTGAGTGACCAACAGGAATGCTTCACCTCTCCAAGACAGTAAGACCTCAGCTGGGTCATCACAGGCATTGTGAAATGCTCTCATTTCTGTGTGATGTTCTTTAGCCCCTGGACTGGGGAGCTTTTAGGTTATTCATGTCCTCTAAGCTATTAAGTGACTTGAGACTGGGGTTTGGAGGTGGTTTGCCGTCTGTCTGATAGCAGACACGTGTGCTTTGTTTGGACAAATGTGACTGGATTTTCCAAGCTTGTGTTCCTATGCACCTGCTAACTGCCCTGCTGCTGTTTCCCCTTGCCCTGTGCTAGGCTGGGTCTGGGTCACCATGGTCTCTTCCAGACTGTCTTTTGTACAAGGTGTCCTGATGTCCTATGCATGATTCTTTGGGTATTTGGGCTGGGAGGAATTATGTTTGACCGGTGGTTTTCCTTTATTCCTGCCTTGTGAAGGGGATGTATGAGTGCAGACATAAGGAACTCAGAGTCTTTGTCCATAGCAGAGGATGAACAAAATGCTGTCACAAGTAAGATAAGGTGATATGGGTTTTCACAGAATAGAAACATGACAACATATAAAGCCATGGGCAAAGATACTGTGTAAGCCTAGCAGCCCCTGTCCAAAAGCATGCACCAGAGCTATTGGGGAGCTCTACTGAAAGGCTCTAGAGAACTAAAAAATGGTCTCTTGTGGAAAGAAAGTGCACATCTGCCACCTGCCTTGCTATCCCCTTCTTGAGGTATCGGAGCAGGGAGGAGATAACAAGCCTCTACTCTGCCTGTCCCCCACATTGAGGGTGAGCAGAAGTAGGGATTATACTGCCAGTCACTTAAGGGATACAGATGGAGGTGTCACAGTGTAGTTCTCCTGTGAGTCTCTGTCATGGCTAAAGCAGGGCTAACTAGGCTACCATATGCACATGATTCTAAGTGAACCATGCTCATCAGCCCTGAGTTAGAGTCAAAAGCTATCATGACCTCCCTTGGTGGCTGGGATGGAGTCAGGAAACTGAGAGGTGGAAGATCCTGTTGTGTGTCGTGCTGTTGAGTCACCCCATGCAAGGTGAGCTGAGAGCAGGTGAGACTGGTTTTGTCAGAAGGGCTCTGAATTTGCTTGAAAATCTGAGCTGCCGCTCTCTGAAAGGCTCATGTCAGGTATCTAATTCCACTTTGGAGTCATGTTTTAAGTAGCTGGGGTTCTTTTCACAGACAATTGCAGTAGAGCAACACCTGCTTGTTACAGAACCTGACGCTGACATTAGGCAGCCTTCTATTTTCCTTGTTTGCAGGTGGAATCTTTTTTGCTTGACTTTCAAAGTAGATGCTGTGGCTGTTTTGGGGCTGTTGTCATGCTATCCTGCAGGCTGTACCTGCAGCAGAGTACTAGTGGGAGACAGTGAGACAAGACTTCAGCACCATGTGAGTTTTGAATGTGGGTGATCTTGGTGGCAGGATGAAGCTGAACAGGGCCCTGTGGTCCAAGAGAAGAGAAGAGATTGATTGTTTGACTTGGGGAAGCTACTGTCACTCTGTGGCTCTAGAATGGATAATTAAGTTTACCAACTAGAACTGGTTTCTGTGATGTTGAAGTGACAACCTTGGCTGGTGTGACTTGCTGTAGGTAACAGTGTAGAAACACAGTAGTAGCCTATATGCCACCACAGATTTTTAGAGATTTCCTTCATATTAACCTGTGTGCTGCAAGGTCCGTATTTGAAGTCCTCTTGTTTAGTGGCTGAGGTGTCCTCTAATTTAAAT